ACATGCCAGCAACCTGATTCCATTTTGGTTTCAGAGGTGCCCATCCACCTTTCCCAAAAGGTCCCCAGTTCCTAATTAACCTAACGCCCTCCTCCGTACACCATCATCTCATCCACGCATTGAGACCCTGCAGTTCTGCCTGTCTAACTGGCCCTGCACATGGAACCAGAAGAATTTCAGAGAATGCTACCATGGAGGTCCTGGACTTTAATCTCTTACCTAGCAATCTACATTTGGCCTCCAGGACCTCTCTCCTACCTTTCCTTATGTCATTGGTACCTACATGTACCACGACCACCGGCTCCTCCCCAATACCTCACATACGTCTTGAGAGATCTGCAACCTTCGCACCTGGTAGGCAATTCACCAGGTGGTTCTCCTGGTCATCACAATCCCATATATCTCTATTTCTAATGATCAAATCCCCCATTACTATTACCTGTCTCTTCCTAATAATTGGGGTCCCCTCCCTCAGAGAGGTGTTCTCAGTGTGAGAGGAGACTATGACATCCTCTGGAAGGAGGAGCCCGACTATGGGATCACTTCCCTCTGCTCCAGCTTAATGTTCTCTTTCCCTGAGACTTCCATCGTCCTCTACAGCACAGAGGCTGTCAGACTGGGGGTGCTGTGTCCTGGAAAGTCTCCTCTATGTACCTCTTTGCCTCCCTTAGCATCTCCAGTTTAGCCACTCTGGTCTCCAGATCCCAAACTGTGTCTCTTGAGGGCCAGGAGCTGCTTACACTGAATACACACATATGCCACGAGCCCACAAGGCAGGTAATCCTACATTCGGTGCAATAACCTGCATAGCCCCCACTCTGCTGCTGGACTTCTGCCTGCATTCTCTTTACTCCTGCAGGGTTTCTTTTTGTTTGTGTGTTTTTTTTGTTTCTGTGTGTGTGTTTCTTTGGGGGGCCGGGGCTATTGGCCTAAGTTTAGAGAATGTTTGTTAGGCGTATTTGGCTCTTACGTTCCCTCTCTAAATGCCCCCGCAAAACTCCACTGTTTGCTGCTCCTCTGGTCGCTTAGGAGCTGGCTGTAAAAACCCTTGTTCTCCCTGAGTTAGCCCCCCTCCTTCGTCTGGGATCCTAAAGGGGATCAAAGGAAGCAGGTTAGAGCCTGGTCAGGAAGCTCTCAGCTGAGCCTAGTGGGCTGCTAGGCTCAGCTAGGGTGACCAGAGGTCCCAATTTTATAGGGACAGTCCCGATTTTGGGGTCTTTTTCTTATATAGGCTCCTATTACCCCTCACCCCGTCCCGATTTTTCAGGCTTGCTGTCTGGTCACCCTAGGCTGAGCACACGGCCCCCCAGACAGACCACACTATAAACTTCAATCAAGCAGCCCCACGGCAAGCAAACTTGCGGACAACAAACTCACTCCACATGCCTCCTTCACCTGGAGAACTAACTCGCAACCTCCCATTCGCTGCTCCTGTTCACTAGCTCCTGCCCTGCTAGAATCACTCTATTTTTTCCTGCTGGCCCCTGTGGACTCATTCACTCCAGTGCTGAACAGGTGTAAAACGCTACTGCACCACAATGGGAGTGCCTTGCACTCCTGCGCATAGGTGCCAATGGCTACTGCCAGCTCGGATCTGAGCCTCGGCCTGCCCCTGACTGACACAGGCTCTGCCCTTCTCCACTCATGGGGATGAAGAACAGCACCAAGCTGGATCTGGCCAGAGGCACAACTGGACGCTGCAGGCCCACGAACGGGCATTGCTTGGGCTGTGTTCAAAATCCCAGTGGGGGTCGGGCGACAGGGCTGGTTTAGCGCCCAGCCTCTCCCGGAGCTCCCAAACCTCGGACTGGATTTGTGCTTGTTCCTCGAGGGGCTGAATCCAGACTCCCAAATGGGAGGGCGTGTTTGCCCCTTCCGCCCGACAGGCTGCACTTCTACTCCTGGCACTTCCCCTTCATCCTGCTGAGGAGCTGTGGGGGGATCGGCCTCCAGCCCACTCTGAAGCCAGGATAATAGTAAGACCACATGGCAAGGTCTGCGAGCCAAGGCAAACAGAGCAGCCTGTGACCAAAGCATTTCATTCCAATGAACTAACAGTCCCCTGGCAACACAAACAGTCTCTGCGGCTGCCTGCCTTCCCCTCGCCTTAGCGGGAGTACCGTGTGTGACAGCCGAGCGTGGCTCCTTGGCCTTTTGCTCGGCAGGCCCTGAGGAGCCAGCCATGCTCCTGGGCAGAGAAGCCTTCCTGTAACGGTGACCACTAGCCATCCAAAGAGACAGTGGGGACTCTGCCCTTGACGGGTCGGGAGGAGCCGTGCCAGTCAGCGCGAGGCAATACCTGCTGAATGGGCAAGTGACTCTCAGGAGCTCAGCTGTAAGGCGCAGCCTTTCACACAGCCAGGGCCCAAGAGGAGTTCTCCCTCCGTCTCCCTGTTTACACAAACGTCTGATTTGCAGCCTGCTCCAGGAAGCGCACACAGCTCCATTCATCCTTCCCCACCGGAGCCGCCGCTCTCCCAGAAAGGCCTGCTTCACTCGCTCCCATAAACACAGCGTTTGTTATCGTTTCGGGGTAATGGTCCTCCCGCTTTGGTTCCCTTGGCTCCCAGCCACAGTCCTAGAGCTACAGCTAGGCCACGAGAAAGCGGCACCTCAGGAGAGCAGCAATCGGCGCAGCCGCCCGCAGCGGAGGGGAGCAGCAAGGCTCACGTGCCGCGGGCTCTTATTGAGTGCTGGCACCTGAGTGCCCCGGGCTTTGGGGGAACTGAGGCTGGGATGGGAATGGGGCGGCTCAGCTCTTCTTCAGTGTGGGGCTGGGGGAGGAAGTTACACCCCAACCACAGCACAGGGGCAATCACTCAGTTATTACAACCCAACCCAAATGCATTGCAGGTAAGACTCCCAGCCAGCCTATCCCCACCGCCTCAGCGCCATTGTACAGCATGGGATGACAAGAAATATGCCCCTTTAAAGGAGGCTCCAGGGACAGATCGTGGATGGAACATGGGTACAAGAAGGCATTCCCGAAGGCGTTCCCACCCCCTGCGCAAACACCATCGGGCTGTGTGCAAACCGCCTGGTGTTGCCCAGACTCTATCCTAGCAGCCAAGCTGCGGGCAGCTCCGTGGGACACTTCGTGCAAATATTCAGGGAGCTCTTTGGCAGACTTCCAAATAATTTGCATGTGACCATAAACTTCCAGGCAGTGACAGGGACACGGAATTGAGTTGCACAGATTGTGGCAGCTGTGGTTGGAGCAGGTGAGTGGGTTCTAGAGAGGGTCTCAGCGGGATAGATGGGTCGGTGCTGGGGTGTCTGGGAGAGGCTGCGGTAGGTGAGTGCATGGGTTTGCAGGTGGGGGAATCTGGGAGGTATCTGGTGGGCAGTTGGGTGGGTGCTGGGGTTCCTGCAATGTGTGATGGCAGTTCCTGGGGGTACTGGAGTAACTGGAGGTTCTGGGTGCCTTTAGCAATGCTGCCAGCTATCACAGTTTTATTGCAAATCTCATAATAGTCGGTGTTTTTCTAAAAGCCCTAGCTCCTGGAGTCAGGTGATTACAGGAGAATCTCACCTTGCATTAACAAAGGTTAAGGTCACATGTTCTCCACAGCCATGGCAGCTTTCACATTACACCTTGCTACTAGAACATGGGTACAAGGAGCAGTGCAAAGCTCACTGAATAATTTGCACTAAGTGTCACATGAAGCCGCCCAAAACTTGGCAGCCACGATAGCGTCTGCGTGTATCAACTCTGCGTCACTCGTTATACGCATGTTCCATCAGCAAGGTGTAATGTGAAAGCTGTCTGGGCTGTGGAGAAAAATGGGACCCTTCAAGGCTCAAACCCCAGAAGGCAAATAAACATTTATTTAAAAAATCCTGTGATATTTAAGCCCATATCATGATTCTTGCACACTGGATTTTGGGTGTGCAGATCCTGCCATCTCTCCTGCTCCAGATTTTGGTGGGGTAAGCTCTGCATGGACACCCAGAGCAGGGCTTCTCCCACCCCCACCCTCTGTGTGGCTGGGCAGGGCTGAGCAGGATCTTTATCTTTAACATGAACAAGGTGTTTCGCTGACAGCCCAGTCTGTATTTGGAGAATTTAAATTCTAAATGAGACCTCACTATTGTCAACGAACAGCACATTCCAACGGACAATTTGCACCTCTTTGTGTCTCCCGCCACATCACACATGACACACGATGGAAGCAGCAGGAGATTCAGAAATGAACCACCACACTGTGACAGCAGGAAGGTTTTAACCCACCAGCACAAACATGAGCCAGGACAGAGAACAGCTAAGGCATCAGCAAGCAACCTCCACGAAGAAATTAAAGACTGGTTGAAAACTCCTCACATTGCTACACACAGCCCTGCCA